GATTTATGTTTTTTTATATGACATTTGCATATTATGGTTTTAGTAACGTTTTCAAACGAAATTTTTGCCTTGTATTTTTGGGATGTTTCAGTGTGTGTGATTGTCGGAGATAATGATCGAGAAAGAAAGAGGGGGAAGATAGTGGTAGACGGTGGGTTCATACTTTTGAGTGGGATGGGCGAAGGTTTAGTGGTGGTTTGAGAAAGAGGGAATATATAATTTAGAGCATGTGGTTATTCGAGATGATCACCAAAGGACTTGCTCTAACACCTCATTCCCGAGTTTAACAAAAGAAAAAAAGAGAAAAAAAAGCATGAGAGAAAAATAGAAAAAGGAAAAGAAAACAAAATTTTCTTTTGTGTTTCCAAGTTGGAGAGAAGTAGAAAGAAAATGAATCATTTTGTTATTTCCTTCCAAATCCTCCCAAAATCGGAAGGAAAGTTAGGAGGGAAAGCGATTATGTCATTTCCCCCCACTTCCTTCCACTCTTCTCCTTTAATGAAACTCGAGAACATCAATTTCTCTTATTTTCTTCTTATTTCGTTTCTCTCGTTAAATTGAACTCGGAAACGGGGTGTAATGTTCTGAGTGAGAAGGATATGAAAGAATATAGTTTGTTGGGTATTTGAAAAGTTGTCTTTGTAACTTCTCTTAATTTAGATAAGGTATAATTGTTTATTTATTATTTTTTCAATAGATAGATACAAAACCAATATGAAAAAATTAGTTATCTAAAAATATGTTTTATATAGTAAATAAATAATCGAATACATAACATTAGTTTTATTTAGATAAACAACAATTACATATCCAAAATTATAAAACCAATTAAACTGGTATAATAAATATAAGGTTTATCAAGTATGTAAAACAAACAATTGACTCTGTGGCCCAATGGATAAGGCGCTGGTCTACGGAACCAGAGATTCTGGGTTCGATCCCCAGCAGAGTCGATTTTTTTATTTGTGGATTTTTTGGACCTATTTGTAATGTTATTTTTGTAAGGGTCTCTGAATATTTCTTCTGTTAATTCTAAAAACAACTTCATCGAGACTGTAAAATATTATTTTTGTGATGTTTTGTTTGTGTTTTGGAAATAAAATCCGAAACTAATGCAATGCTCTCTAAATATATATATATTTTTAATTATAAAAACAATTCCTACCGACCATACTACAAAATATTATTTTCTTGTTAAAAAAATTTGTAATTATATTGCAAAAAATAGTGTTGATGAATAATTAGCACAAATCAACTTTGATTTTACACTATTTAATGTATATAAAAATGGAAAACATGGTTTATACATAAATTACTAAATATTTAACATAAAACCCGGAAATTATTCTACACATAATATTAAAAAGATGATTATGAGTTTTAGAATTAGTCCAATATTAAATATGATATTTTTAAATTATATATATATATTTAAAAAAAATTATTTTTTTAAATATTATTTTCGGAACATGAATTAACTAAAAAATAAAAAAATAATAAAAAAATGCGTCTCACGGTCTCACAAAATATAGGTGGTCTCAAATGAACCTAACCCTATATATATATATATATATATATATATATATATATATATATATATATATATATATATATATATTTTGTGAGACCGTGAGACGCATTTTTTATTTTTTAGTTAATTCATGTTCCGAAAATAATATTTAAAAAAGAATTTTTTGATTTTTCCATTTATTTTGCATTTTAAAATTATTTTTAGAATATATACAGTGTAATATTCTATTTAGAATATTTCACGTATTTTTAAAAAAAAATAGAATTTTTTTTATTTATTTTTTATTTTTTTAATTAATTCAAGTTCCGAAAATAATATTTAAAAAAAGAATTTTTAGATTTTTCCATTTATTTTGCATTTTAAAATTATTTTTTAGAATATGTCAGTGTAATATTCTATTTAGAATATTTCACGTATTTTTCAAAAAAAAAAAAAACGGAATTTTTTTTATTTTTTTATATTTTTTTTATATATTTTTATATTTTTTTTAGTTAATTCAAGTTCCGAAAATAATATTTAAAAAAAGAATTTTTAGATTTTTCAATTTATTTTGCATTTTAAAATTATTTTTAGATTTGGTCTCACGGTCTTACAAAATTAGAATGGTCTCAAATGAACCTGAACCTATATATATATATATATATATATATATATATATATATATATATATATATATATATATATATATATATATATGGGAAAAGTGAATATACCTTTAACGGTATATAAGTTTAGGTACCCAAACTCACTATACTACATCGTTTTGTATCATTTATATACATTTTAATGGTTCAATGTTTTTATAATTCAACTTTAACTTGATTTACTTCCAAGATGTTTATCAATTTCACATTTATATTCTTATTACATAATTTCATTTTCAACTGTAATATATATAGCCTAGTGGGTGTTCGGCAAAAAGATGTGATGTAAAAGGAAGATAATAATGAAATTTCGAAAATTTTGAAAGTAATCAAGTCAAGGGTTGAAGCTTAAGAACATTATAATGAATATATTAAACAAAATCACGTATTATAATGGATTTGGGTACCTAAGCTTATATACCCTTGAGGGTATATTCACTTTCCATATATATATATATATATATATATATATATATATATATATATATATATATATATATATATATATATATATATATATATATATATATATATATATATATATATATATATATATATATATATATATATAAGATATGTTAATTGTATTTTTAGCAAGTTTTTATGACAGAATATTATTTGAAATTATGTGATAGTTAATTGCATACTAAAAACAGAGTTATACTTTAAAAGAATTGTATAATAATAAAAATACTACGTTATTCTAAAATTAAAATATTAAATAAATATATTTTCTTTGATATGGTGATACAATCTATATAACGTTATACTTCACATGCCACCATAAACCACCACATGCACAATCTATATACTTACCATTGTGAAGAAGAGAAGAGAAAGAAAAAAAAGAAGAAGATGGTTGCAAGAGATAATGAACCATGTTCTCAAATGTGGTGGTGACCACATGCCACAACACCACGACACACACAAGATGATGTATACGGTTGTAATGGTCTGCCACCGTGGCAACAAAGCCCCATCGTGAATAGTATTTTGAATAGCCTAAGGAATTATCAATTTTATATGTTTTAGGGGTTAAGTATGGAAACGGCTTATATGGAGATTCAAAGTTATAAAACATCTATCAAATATTTGCTAATAGATAAACATTATTTATAGGGCCACACGAGTAAATGATTGGGTTCAACAACCTAATTATACCACCACCAACTGCTAACTCCACCCTCGTCCACCATCATACTCTTCTGTTTATATGCATAAAATCAACCATCAATCACCATCATTACATATCGTTTATCACCACCGAATCAATATCAAAGGCAACCCGATACCATCACCTTTCTCCCATGTTCACGCACCTAACATCACCCTCTCTTAGCCCTCATTTGACAACCTTTAACCACCAATTCTCAACCATCAACCCACCTTTATCAATCATCAAACACCTCTATAAACCACCACACAGTAGCCTTCATCACTAATTGCACAACCCACATCTGCAATTCAAAAAAACAAGGAAATAAGGAAGAGTATGCAATCGATTTAGAAGGGTGAAGTGGTAGAAAATTTGTGATATTACCCACATCGAAAGCAAATAAGATCCCAATTGTGCAGTTAGTTCAACCAATAGCAAATTGAGCTTTTGTATTAAGCTTGGAGATAGATTTTGGTGGATGCATGAAGCTAATTTGACAAATTACCTCTAATTACTGACTTACCTTATGAATTCACTGCACGAAGATGGAGAACTCATCGATGACTTTTGAATCTTCAGGGCTTGAGAAATCAGGTCTATGGATAGGTAGAACCATCACCATCTTGATTGCATCAGTTTAAGTAAGTAGTGGTTCATGGTGGCAGAAGAAGCAGTCGATGGTGCTAAAAGTCGAAAAGCTTTGATAGGGTTCCGGTGAACCAACAATAATAGATGGTAAAGGTGAATGGAGGGTTTTATTGTTTCGGTCAGAGTAGGAAATGCATAGGGTTGTGAAATAGAGTAAGGCCTTCTGGTATACGAACCACGAAAGGTCTTGTGCTCTAGTTGGCCACGACCATAGCTCGTGCACACTAGCCCGAGCCTTCATGATTTGCCATTGGTGTGCTCAATTATGCCGCCCACAACGAAGTTAGTCAACCAATAGGAGTGGTTTTTTTCATTTTGACTGTCGAAGGACCGTTCAACGGCTAATTTAAAAAAAAAAATTAAAAACAAATTTTACTTATAATAACCACACTATACATCCACATTTCTTTACATTATTCTTTTCTTTCTCTATATTACCATTTTACAACAAAAAAGCATGGATCCCAACCAAAATAACCCTCCCCTAAACTTTAGAAATCACAAACCCAATAACGCTTTGCGTTAGATACAACCCCTCGTCAATTCCCGATCATGGAATAACCTCAAGGTGGTTTTGTCAATTTGCTTCAAATAGGTTCCTCTATCCAACAAACACCATTTTTCCAATAGCACTTTCAACCTTTATCGGAATTTCAACACCAATTTCAAAAATTCCAACAACATTTCCATCCACAATTGTCACAACCACCACTTTCATAATTACAACCACCTCATTCGCCATATTTTGTTTCCGAAACACAACCTTCACCACCACCACCTTAACCAAAAAAGAAAAAGGAAAAAAAACGGCCCACCCCACTATCCAAGAAAAGGTACCAAGGAAAAAAGAGGAAGAAGAAAAGCTAGCGGTGTAACATCCCGAAAAACAAGGGTAAAAAGTTCATTTTTATTATATTAAAAAAACTATTGTAACTTTCTCCAAACATTTAAAAGCATTTCAAAATAAAACAAATATCAGAGTTCATTCCCAAAGATCACATATTGCGGAAAACACGAGTGTATGTTCTGCGACCAAGCCGGACCCTTCCTTTTCGAACTGAAAGTACCTGAAACCATAAACCACAAACTGTAAGCACAAAACTTAGTGAGTTCCCCAAATACCACATACCAAACATAAAATAAACATACAACAGGCCCCACTCGGATTCGGGCACTGTCCGACACTGGGCCCCACTCGGTCATCGAGTTGAGCTCGGTAATAGATCAGGCCCCGCCCAACATGCATATAACATATATCCAATAAACATATATGCATGAAGTATAGATACATAGCATACAAATAGTCATCGGGCCCCGCCCGACATTGGACCTTAGCCCGGAAAGCATATGAACACATACACATGCAAGAGTCATGAAGACAACTAGCATACTAACATAGCATAAACATGGTTCGACATTGGTGCCTTCGACCCGCTAAACCCAGTAAGGAAACTCACCTCGAGTGTAGAAGTTGTTGGGTTTTATGTACTCTAACATCCCTATAGTGCACATACGACCCTAATGCTTTGGATCTAAGTTTTCTCTAATTATACACACAATATTCATTTTCCAAAGCATGAAGTCTAACTAGCATGCAAAGGTAATATTTGAATCATAAAAACTGTTGGATTAGTTTCTAAGTACATAACTATATATGATATGTACTTGACTCGGTTGTAGTATGGTCCTTTTAGGTTGCCTTCACCAAAGCAACTTGACTGGATGAATTATAGAGAAACTGGTTATTATTGTATATTAATATATTATATGAATAATATATTAAAGGAGAAATCACATTTGTTTAATTAATATTGGCCAGTAATTAATTAGGAAATAGTTTTGTGATCAAAAGGTATTAATTAAAGCTAGGGGGACTGATATTGTAATTATTAGATAGTTGCAAAGTAGGCTGAGGAAACCCTAGAGATAGGGTGGAAGAATTCTTGGGGATAAGGCCTCAAGAATTCGTCGAAGGTAAGGATTCCAGAAGATTCTTATGAGCTGCTTAGAGCCTAAGCAACCGGATAAGTGTTTGACTGAAACCCTAATTCCTCACTAACATAAAGGGACCCTTGGCTACCTATTTTCGGCAACACCGTATCCCTAAGAGTTCTAGGAGCCGAATTTTAGCCGTCCCCTCTCTCTATTATTCTCCAACTTTCTTTGGTGTTTGTGATCTATTAGAGGCACAACATTTGAGGTGCTAAGATTCTCAAAAGCTCAAGATCTGCAATCAATAATCATGGTAATCATCGAAACTTATTTTAGTTTTTATTTTCAGATTTTGTATTCTAAATCTAGGGTTTATAGATTTGGACGATTTGCATGTTTAATTAGAGAAACCTAGATCCAAAGCTTTAGGGTTTGCATGTGCACCATATGATTGATGTAATGCTCAAAACCCATCAGTTATTGTATTTGATGCATTGTTTGATCATTCATTGCTTGCAAAAATCGAAAATCCTGCCCTATGACAACTTAACTCGTCGAGTCACCAGATGAACTTGACGAGTGAGATGTACTCGGCGAGTCGGAGTGTCAGGGAGCAAAAGTTTCAGGATTTTGACCTATTTTTGATTGGGATAGTTACCAAAAACATTTTTTATTAATAAAATCCAATTTTTATTAAATAGATATGATTATCCTCATCAAAATAGAAGATAATTACAATTTAATTAGATAATTATTGCCTTATATGATAATCCTTAACTTTTTGATTGCATTATCTTGCCATGTAATTGGATTAGGTCAAATTTACATACTCATTAATTAATTGTTTAATTAAATTATCTGCAATCTAGATAGTTTTGAAAGGTTTCTAAACTTGCCCTCAAATTTTGGAATTTAAATTTTTGATTAAAAGTTTAATTTTGAAATATTTAAATTCTAAACCCTAGAATTTTACAAGTTTAAAATTCAACCCTTATACTATTATATTATTACAAGATTAATAATATATATATATGTGTGTGTGTGTATGTGTGTATATAAGATCAAGCTAGTCTTACCGTTAGTAGGATATGGCAACTAATTCCTCATTAAAAGTGTAATGATTATATAAATTAACTAAATATTTTTTTATAAAATTCTCAATCTTAGTTACTTTAGGAAAAATGTGAAAATGATGCTATTCCATGACATTACACTTTGTACCCTTGCCAAATCATTAGTGGAGCGTGTGTGGATAACCGACATACTAATTTAGGATTAGCAAAGGTGGGAAAGGGTAGCTTGATGTTTATCATAGATCAATGGGGCATGTGTGGCTGACCGGCACATTGATTAGGTGATTTGTAACATTGAGAGTACCAAGTATATTTTCATGGTTATTTACACCTTGTTTGTGATCCTCGGTATCCCACTCACAAACTTGAAGGGCATATCAAGATTTAAGCATGCCATTGAAAAGTTCAATGAATCTCAAAAGAATCTAGGAGTTTCAATACAATTAAAACTTAATTTCTTTATCGTTTTTCATGGTGGAAATTAGTGAATCGTCATTCACTTACATTCATAATATTTGCATTCTATATTACGACATCGCTTTTCTAAATTTTGAATAATTGTGTTGGGTCCTAGCCCTATTTTCATTTGGGTGTTTAATTGGGGATTCTTATCTAATCAAACTTTGTCTCCTTTTCTTTTCAGATGTCTAATTCAAAGAACAATGTTTCTAACTCAACCCCTGCTGGCTCATTCTCACTCATGAATTTGTGTGGGAGGGTGATTTTTGATGGGACCAATTTTAATGATTGGATCCGTAATATCCGCATGATCACTCGCTATGAGGTGAAGGAGTATGTTCTCGATAAGGAGATAAAGGAGGTTGACACCAACACTGCTACTCGTAAAGAGATTGTTGCGTTTGAAGCTCACGAGAAAGATACTAAGAAAGTCCATTGCATCATGCTCGCGACAATGACTGTTGAACTCTAGAAGTCATACGAGGATATCTACCCCTACGAGATGCATCAAGATTTGATGGATATGTACCATCAAATTGTGAGGCAGGAAAGTTACGAGATTATCACTTTGATCATCAATACCAAAATGAAGGATGGAGAGTCCATCACTGCCCACCTGCAGAAAATGCAAAGGTATGTGGACCGCTTGCTGAAGTTAAATGTTAACTTCGATGAGGAGCTGGCCATAGATATCATTCTACACTCCTTACCTCCTTGTTACAACTAGTTCCGGATGACCTACCACATAAACAAGGAAGAGGTCACTCTAAGCAAGCTTCAAGGCCTGCTAAGGACTGCTGAGAGTAGTTTGAAAAGCAAATCTGTTGCATCAACTCCTGCTACTACCGCCCCCGTCTTGGCTATTAGGCAAGGGAAGGGTAAGAAGAGGAAGGCTCCTTCTAAGAGCCACCATAAGGTAAATTCCCATGATGGTAACTCTTCAAGTGGAACCAAGGTTGTTACCACTGCGCCCTCCTCCAACCCGAAGGATACAGAGTGCTACTACTTCCATGAGAAAGGGCATTGGAAATGAAGCTGCCTGAAGTACTTGCAAGATATCAAGAATAAGAAGATAAATTCGTCCTTCGCAGGTATTTATACTATTCATTCTAAAAAATCATCACATGCTATGTCTTGGGCCCTTGATACAGGATGTGGCATTCACATTTGTTCTGATGTGTAAGGCCTAAGAAAAAGTAGGGATGTGGAGCATGGGAAGATAAACTTGATCATGGGGAATAGGAAAGCGTCGCCTGTCACCAAGATTGGAGTTTACTCTGTAGTGCTTAGTAGTGGGTTAGGTTTAGATTTGAGTAATTATTGTTACTCGTCAGAAATGACAAGAAACATTATTTCTTTTCATGTTTTATATAAACAAGGTTTTAGATTTTCGTTTGATAATGAAAAAGGTTCTATAAATGCTTTCTTTAATGGTTCTTTTTATTTTGAAGCATTACCTTGTAATGGAATATATGAAACTGTGATGGTTGTAGACAACTTAGGAAATGATGTGTTGCATATCAATTCTTCTAATAGTTTGGATAAGGCATGCTTATAGCATTCTCGTCTTCGACATGTCAACAAGAAGCGCATAGCCCAACTCTAAAAGGATGGAGTGTTGGAGTCATTCGACCTAAGGGATGATGACGTGTGCGAGTCTTGTTTACGTGGAAAGCTAACCAAGTCACCCTTTACTGGTACTTGTGAAAGGGGTGAGGGTTTATTAGATCTCATACACATCGATGTGTGTGGGACCCTTAGATCCACCACAAGGGATGTGAACCGCTTCTATGTGACGATTATAGCAGATATGGGTATATCTAATTAATCAAGCACAAGTTAGAAACCTTTGAAAAGTTAAAATAGTTTAAGAAAAAAATGGAGAATCAGTTGGGTAGGAAAATCAAGATGCTTCTATCCGATCAAGGTGGTGAGTACCTTAGTCTTGAATTCCACGATTACCTCAAGGAATGCATAATTGTTTTGCGATTGACGCCACCTAGGACACCGCAGTTGAATGGTGTAGCTGATATGCGCAATCGAACTTTGTTAGACATGGTTCGTTCCATGATGAGTCGTGCTTCGTTACCTATCTCATTTTGGGGGTATGCCTTAGAGACTGCCACCCATATCCTTAATTTAGTCCCTACCAAGAAGGTTGTCAAAACACCTCACAAGATGTGGACATGGAAAGTTCCCTCATTGGAACATATCAAGGTTTGGGATTGTGAGGATTTCATAAGATGAGAGACTCACGACAAGCTCCAACCTCGTAGTGAGCGGTGTATTTTCATTGGCTACCCGCAGAAGTCCTTTGGATATCTCTGATGGGTTTTGGTCATAAGACATCCTATGTGCTCATACAAACCCTAATGCTTGGATCTAGGTTTCTCTATTGTACATGCTTTGAATCCAAGACTATAAACCCTAATTCTAGCATACATATAATCATATTAACATGAGAATAAGTTTATAGTGTTACCTTGATTATTATGTAGCAATAACAATCCCAAATCTCCTTGTATTAACTTTGGAAGGCTTAGAGTCACAAGTGTCACTCCTCTAATGGCTCACAAACACCATAAGCAAGAGGATGAAG